GCTGTGGGGCTGGGGCTGGTTGGGGTCTCACTCAGTGCCACTGTGGGGCTGGGGGCGCTGGGGCCGGTTGGGGTCTCAGCGCCATTGGGGGGCAATGGGGCCGGTTGGGGTCTCGGTGCCGCTGTGGGCTGGCCTGGGGTCACTGGGGCCGGTTGGGGTCTCGGTGCTGCTGTGGGGCTGGGGATGCTGGGGCCAAATGGGTCTTCATGCCGCTGTGGGCTGGGGATACTGGGACTGGTTGGGGTCTCGGTGCTGCTGTGGGGCAATGGGGCCAGTTGGGATCTTGGTGCTGCTGTGGGGCTGGGGCTGGTTGGGGTCTCAATTGGGGGCCAGGGGTGCTGGGGCCATTTGGGGTCTCGGTGCTGCTGTGGGGCTGGTTGGGGTCTCGGTGCTGCTGTGGGGCTCTTTGGGGTCTCGGGGTTGCTGTGGGGCCGGTTGGGGCCTCGGTCCCGCTGTGGGGCTGGGGCTGGTTGTGTGCCGGTCCCGGTGCCGGTGCGGCAGCCGCTGCCCGCAGGCGCTTCGAGCTCTACGCCATGGAGTGGGGCGTCAAGGAGGAGCTGCGCGAGTGCCTGCTGGCGGCCGCCCCGTACGGGGGGCCCATCGGTAGGAACGGTGCAACGGGGGGACAAGGGGGGCCACGCGGCGCCGCCTCACGGGCCGCCCCGCAGCGCTGCTCCGCAACGGCGCCCGCAAGGAGCGCTCCCCGGGCGCCCGCCCGCGCCTTGAGATCTACTCGGCCTCGGGGCTGCTCCTGGCCGCCATCCCGGTGAGTGTCAGCTCGGGAATCCGCAATGCTCCCGGTGCATCCCGGCTTGAGCAACGCCTCCCCGGTGCCGCCGCGGGAGCTTTCCTCATCCCGGGATGCGACCCCGCTGAGCCGCCCCGTCCCGTCGCGCTCCGCAGTGGAAGAGCGGCCAGCTGGTGCACCTGGGCTGGACGGCGAGCGAGGAGCTGCTCTGCATCCAGGAGGACGGCACCGTGCTCGTCTACAGCCTCTTCTGCGAGTTCAGGCGCCACTTCAGCATGGGCAACGTGAGTGGGGCGCGCGGGGAAGCGCCGGCGGCGGCGGCGCACGCGGAGCGCGAGTCCCCGCGCTCCGCGTGCGCCGCCGCCGCCGGCGCTTCCCCGCGCGCCCGGCGCCTCACCCGCAGCCGGCGCTCAGCCCGCTCGCACCGCTGCAGGAGGTGCTGCAGAACCGCGTGCTGGAGGCGCAGGTCTTCCACACGGAGTACGGCAGCGGCGTGGCCATCCTCACGGGCGCGCACCGCTTCTCGCTCGCCGCCAACGTGGACGACCTCAAGCTGCGGCGCATGCCCGAGGTGCCAGGTGGGTCCTTTGTGGTGGCCTCGGTGATGCCCAGTTGTGTGCTCGGTCCTCACGCCGCGCGCCCCGCAGGTCTGCACCAGCCGCCCTCTTGTTGGGCCGTGCTGTCCCAGGACAGGGTGACCGTGGTGCTGCTGGCCGCCGGGCAGGACCTCTTCCTGCTGGACAACACGGCCTGCTCCGTGGTGGTGAGTGCGCCCGGTGCCGCCTCCGCAGCCCCGGGTCCTCCCCCTCGCCGTGTAACCCCCCTGCCGTCTCCCCCGCGCCGTCCCAGACGCCCCCCGGCATGAGCCCCGGCGCCGGCGCCTACCTGCGCATGGCCGTGTCCTTCAACTACCGCTGCCTGGCGCTCTTCACCGACAGCGGCTACGTCTGGATGGGGCTGGCCACGCTCAAGGTGAGCACCACGCTGCGCCACGCTGCCCCAAACCTGCAGCAAAGTGTGCCCTGACCCCAAAGCTCTGTTATCTTGAGGTGCAGTTGTACCATTTAGGGTGTTGACATCTATAATGTCTTTTTTTCCGTCTCTTAAGCTCTGTTTTTGCTGCTCTGGTGTGTCCCTTCTCTGCCCACACTCCCCATCCCAATTCTGCTGCACCCGAATTGGGCAGTTAGGGTGTTATTTCCCAGGGTGATGCCAGCCCTATCACCATAGCTCAGTGTGGGGCCTCGCCAGCCCCAGCTCCCAGCTTCCCCCGTCGTCACCTGCCTCGTGCTGGTGGCACCCTGGTCACCTTGTGCTCTCCGAGCCAAGGCGCTCCCCTTGAGTCTCGATTCCCGCGCCCTCTTTCACGGGGCAGGGGCAGCTCTGGGGCGCGCGGGGCAGCCCCGCTGTGCTCCGCGGTGGCTCCCGGCTCCCCGCTCGGCTCCGGCCCCTGCAGCTCTGTCCGCTCCCGCTCCAGGAGAAGCTCTGCGAGTTCAACAGCAGCATCCGCTCCCCGCCGCGGCAGATGGTTTGGTGAGTGCTCCGCGGGCTGCCGGCCCTGCCGCGGGGCCCGTGTCGGCCTGCGCGGCGCCCCGTGCCCGGCTCGGCAGCGCCCTGGAGGTGCCGCTGCCGTGGGCTGAGCGCGGCGCTGCCCGCAGGTGCACGCGGCCCCGCAGCCGCCAGCGCGCGCTGCTCCTGGCCTGGGAGCGCCTGCTCGTGGTGGCGGGCAGCTCCACGGAGAGCATCCAGTATCCTTGGCGGGGAGGGACGGGTGTCGTTGCAAGGCTGGGCTGCCGCGGCGGGACGGTTCCTGTGTGCCCGGTACGCGGTGCTGGGAGCCGCAGCCCGGCAAGGCCGGGGCCGCGCGCTGCCGGAGCGGGGCTGCCGCCGGGAGCCGCCTTCGTCCTTAGCGGGAGCACAGGTTTGTCCTGGACGAGGACTCCTACCTGGTGCCGGAGCTGGACGGGGTCCGCATCCTGTCGCGCAGCTCGCACGAGTTCCTGCACGAGGTGCCAGGTGAGATGTGCGCGGGGCCGCGGTGTCCCCTCCCTGGTGGCAGCAGGGCCACGGGGGCTGTGCTCGAAGGGCTGAGCGCGGCCCGTCAGCTGCCCCTTCACCCGAGTGTCCCCCATGCCCCGGGCTGGCCCCCGTCCCTGCAGAACCGGTGTGAGACCTGGTTCGCTCCTGCGGTCACAGAGCTGTATGGGGGGCCGACACGAGCGAGCGGGCGCCCCGATGCCTCGCGCCCGGCCTGGCAGCCTCTCACCCCGCATCCCCCTTCCTTGTGCGCAGAGGCCAGCCAGGAGATCTTCAAAATCGCCTCCATGGCGCCGGGCGCTCTGCTGCTGGAGGCGCAGAAGGAATACGAGGTAGGACCCGCTGGCCGGGCGCCCCTGCCCCATGGTTCCCCTGCCCCACGGCACCGCGATGGGGACAAGCCCAGCAGCGCTGTGGCCCCGGCTTCGCGCTCGCTGCTGCCCTGGAGTCTCCTGCGGGCTGGACGTGGTGCGGGTGCCAGGGATGCCCGGGTTGGGGCTCGTCCCCCTGGGGAGCCGGGTGCTCCGTGCTGGATGTCTGCTCCACGGTGCTGAGCTCTGCCCGGCTGCGCCCCGTGCAGAAGGAGAGCCAGAAGGCGGACGAGTACCTGCGGGAGATCAAGGAGCAGAAGCTGCTGCCCGAGGCCGTGAGCCAGTGCATTGAGGCTGCCGGCTACGAGCACGAGCCCGAGACGCAGAAGTCGCTGCTGAGGGTGAGCGGCGGACGGAGGATTTGGGCTGAGGCCGCCAGCTCTGCCCTCCCGCAGCCACCGCCACGGTGTCTGTGCTGCAGGCCGCCTCCTTCGGCAAGTGCTTCATCGACAAGTTCCCCCCGGAGAGCTTCGTGCGCATGTGCCAGGATCTGCGGGTGCTCAACGCCATCCGCGACTACCAGATCGGCATCCCCCTCACCTTCACGCAGTATCCTCAGTGCGGGAGCCGCGGGAGGCCGCGAGCGCCCGCGGGGCCGGGGCTGCCGGGGGCTGCCAGGGGCCGGAGCTTTGGGCCCGGTGCTCCGCAGGGACGGTGGCGAGCTGGGGAGAAGGGATGTGCTGGCCCCAGCAGCAGCCGTGCTCCGAGCCCCGGGCAGGGCTCTGTAGCTGAGACACTGGTGCTCATTGCAGCCTGCTAGGCCTGGCCTGGCCCCGTCCCCCTGGGGCATCCCTGTGTCCCTGCCCGCGTGGTTGCAAGCTGCAGGGACACTCTGCTGCCCTGTGTGCGCGGCTGCTCTGGGGGCTGCCAGGCGGGCAGGGGGCTCGCAGGGTCACCGGTGTCCCTTGACGGTCCCCCAGATACAAGCGGCTCACCATTGAGGTGCTGCTGGACAGGTGAGGACACCCGTCCCGGCTGGCGGGACGAGGCCGGTGTGCGGCCGCCCCGCGGCGGTGTCCGCGCCGCTCACCCCGCTCCCGGCGCCGCTGCAGGCTGGTGCTGCGGCGCCTCTACCCGCTGGCCATCCGCATCTGCGAGTACCTGCGGCTGCCCGAGATGCAGGGCGTCAGCCGCATCCTCGCGCACTGGGCCTGCTACAAGGTACGCGGCGCCCGCGGGGCCGGCGCCCGCGCCGCTCCCTGCCCGCGCCTCCCTGCTCCCGCTCCCTTCCAGGTGCAGCAGAAGGACAAGTCGGACGAGGAGGTGGCCCACGCCATCAACCAGAAGCTTGGGGACACCCCGGGCATCTCCTACTCTGAGATTGCTGCCCGGGCCTACGACTGCGGCAGGACGGAGCTAGCCATCAAGGTGCGCGGGGCCGTGGTGGTGGCCCTGGCCATGGCGCGGTGGCCCTGGCTGCGGCACGGTGACCCTGGCACAGCGGCCCTGGTCACGGCACGGTGGCCGGGTGCCCACGGCCTCTCTGCCGCCCGCAGCTGCTGGAGTACGAGCCGCGCTCCGGGGAGCAGGTCCCGCTGCTGCTCAAGATGAAGCGCAGCAAGCTGGCCCTGAGCAAAGCCATCGAGAGCGGGGACACCGACCTGGGTAAGGGCGGCAGCGCCATCCCCCTCGCCCCCGGCCCGCGGCATCGCCGAGGAGGGTCTCGGTGCTCAGTCCCCTCGTGCCCCAGTCTACACGGTCGTGCTCCACCTGAAGAACGAGCTGAATCGCGGCACCTTCTTCATGACGCTGCAGAACCAGCCGGTGGCCCTGAGCCTGTACCGCCAGGTGGGTGTCCCCTGCGCCGTGGCCCTGCGGCCGGCAGCCAGCCGGGCACGGTGACACTGGGGCAGCTCCGTGTCCTGCCCCCTGCCCCCCAGTTCTGCAAGCACCAGGAGCGGGAGACGCTGAAGGACCTGTACAACCAGGACGACAATCACCAGGAGCTCGGCAACTTCCACGTCCACTCCAGCTACGCCGAGAAGGTCTGAGGGGGGCTCCGGGCTGGCGGGGATGTTGGGGAGCTGCATTGCACGCGCTGGCCGTGTGCCCGTGCCGCCTGTGCTGCGAGCAGGGCCGGGGCGGGCGGCAGCTCTTTGTGCCACACAGCTCGGGAGCACCAGCCAGGGCGGCCGGGGGTCCCTGTCCCTGCTCGGGGCCTCCCTGGGCTCGTAGGGCGGTGTCCTTGTCACCGGGCCTGCCTGCCCTGTCCCCTGCAGCTGCAGCGGGTGGCTCATGCGGTGCCGTCTGTCCCCAGCGCATCGAGGGCAGGGTGGGCGCTCTGCAGAACGCCCAGGACGCCTACTACAAAGCCAAGAACGAGTTTGCTGCCAAGGTGAGCGTGGCGGGTTTGGTGGGAGCTCCTAGGACCCCCCTGCACCGTGGGGCTGGGTCGGGGACCCCTCACCCCCACATGCGGCTCCGCAGGCCACCGAGGACCAGGTGAAGCTGCTGCGGCTGCAGCGGCACCTCCAGGAGGACTTGGACAAGCCCTACGTCGACCTCTCGCTGCACGACACCGTGTCCAACCTCATCCTGGACGGCCACCACAAGCGTGCCGAGCAGCTCTACCGCGACTTCAAGATCCCCGACAAGCGGTGGGTGTCCCCGCGCCGCAGCCCTGCCTGGGGGCGCCCGGAGCTCGTCCCCAACCCAGAACCGGGCAGCGCTGAGCCCGTCCGGGCCCAGGGGCGCCCGGAGCTCGTCCCCAACCCAGAACCGGGCAGCACTGAGCCCGTCCCGGGCCCAGGGACACCCGGAGCTCGTCCCCAACCCAGAACCGGGCAGCGCTGAACCCGTCCCGGGCCCAGGGACACCCGGAGCTTGTTCCCAACCCAGAACCGGGCAGCGCTGAACCCGTCCCGGGCCCAGGGGCGCCTGGAGCTCATCCCCAAGCCCGAGCCGGGCAGCGCTGAGCCCAGCCTGAGCCTGGGAATGCCCGGAGCTCGTCTCCTACCCAGAGCTGGGCCAGCGCTGAGCCTGTCCTAAACCCGCAGCGCCTCCCTGCACCCCCGGGGCTGCACCTGGAGCAGCAACTGAGCCCCTCGCTGGGCTCCTCGGGGCTGCGGGGGCTTCACGGGCCTAGGCGAGAAGGAGGAGCAGAGCCTTCCTCCCCTGGCACCACTGAGCCCTCGTGCTCGCTTTGCGTGCCCAGGTACTGGTGGCTGAAGCTCAGCGCCCTGGCCACCCGCGGGGACTGGGAGGAGATGGAGAAGTTCTCCAAGAGCAAGAAATCTCCCATCGGATACCTGGTAAGGGGCTCTGTGGGTGCCAGCCCCCTGGCCATGGCGGGGGCAGGACTGAGCGTGCCCCCCGCAGCCCTTCGTGGAGATCTCGGTGAAGCACCACAACCGCTACGAGGCCAAGAAGTACGCGGCGCGCGTGGCCCCCGAGCAGCGCGTCAAGGCCCTCCTGCTGGTGGGGTGCGTGGGGCTGCGGCCGGGGGGCCCCCCCGTGCGCCCCCGCCGCTCACCCGCCTTGTCCCCGCCGCAGGGACCTGGAGCAGGCGGCCGACGCCGCCATCGAGCACCGCAGCGAGAGCGAGCTGAGCCTGGTGCTGGCGCGGTGCGGGCCGGGCACCGACGGCGCCCTGCTCGAGCGGCTGGCGCGCGCCCGCGCACAGCTCGCCAAGAAGTGACACCCGCCGCGCCGCAGCGTGTGACACCTGCCGCTCGGGGACAAGTGACACCCGTCGCCCAGCAAGCTGTGACACCCGCCGTGACAAGTGACACCCGCTGCTTGGCAAGCAGTGACACGTGCCGCAGCACCCCGGCCCCCACGGGCTGCAGGGGCGAGGGGGGCCTGGCGCGCACGGGGGGCAGCGACCCCCCTTGCACCCCCCTCTGCCCCACTAATAAAGTGCAGAGCAGGCCCCCGCTGCGTCCTGGTGCCAAGCGGTGACGGGGGGGACAGCCTGGGGGTGGCGGGGGGATAGGGCTGCTGCCGGCGGGGGGAGCAGGCCTGGGTCCTGGGAGGGGGTACTGCACCCCGTGCTGGCCCGGAGGAGCCTGTGTCCCCCTCGCTGTCCTGGCACCCCCTCACTGTCCCGGGTCCCCCCTGCTGTCCCGTGTCCCCCTCGCTGTCCCGTGTCCCCCCTCGCTGTCCCATGTCCCCC